TTTTTATTCATTTTTTATTTAACTAAACCACTCGGAAATTCTCTTCCCTCACTCTTTTTTTTTGTATTTTTGTTATTTTTTTCTTCTCTCTCTTGGACTAAATTACAATGAATCATAATTTAAAATATAGAATCAGGTACATTTTTAACATTGTTGGCTAATATATATATATACATTTTTTATGATTAAATTTACGAACAATTTTATAACTTTATCAAGTACCACTAGTACCAGTATAAACAAGATAAGTACATGAAACTGGTGTGTGTTTGTAGATAGAAAACGACGAGTGATATACCCGCGTTAGTATTTACCAAGTTGTAAAACACGACACTAGAACACGTTTTTTTTTTTCTTCCCATTATTTGTCATCATATCTGCCCTCTTATTTAACAGATAACAACAAACGATTACGTGTCGTCGGCGTGTTGACTCTTTTGTTGAAAACGACCGACTGATTAGAGTATTTATTGAGTAGTATTTTTGGTTCTTTTTTATTTTTATTGTAAAGAACGCGGTCAAAAAACGACCAATATTTGTGTTTGTTACACACGAAAGAGTTACAGATGCGTGCGGCTAAATAGCTTTGTTATTTTCTTTCCGTTTTTAGTATACTAAAACCTTTTTCAAAAATATTCAAAAGAACTACATGAACAAATATAGGTATATTTTACACAGAGCTCGTGTTTTTAATAAATATTTAATTTAAATATGCTTAGTTGGCGTATTATAATTTAATATTGTAACTTTTAGAATCGAGTTAACAATTCAAAAATTAAACACTTATTATAGATTATAATTTTTATATTAAGTTGTAATTTTATTTATATTAGGTACTATGGGTAATTTAAGATATGTTCGTATGAATTAAGTATATGTTTATTGCAGTGTATGTTACATATAAATAAATAATATGTTATAAAAGTTATATTCTTTTTAAATTAAACTGTTTAGAACCAATAATAGGAGTAGTATTATTAAACTGTTTTTCAAATTTGTATAAAAACATTTGAACAACTACAAAACTATTAACATATTTACTATTATTAATTGTAAGTAATTAATCTATATTTTATTCTTATTCATAACAACTACTGCACCATTAAAAATACTATAAAAGAATAACTTCAAAGTCGTAATACCTAAATATTAATATATTACATGGCTTATAATAAACCCTATCAACGAGCCTACGCTCTTCAGACGATAGCTGATTTATAGTTTTATATGTATTTATATTAATCGGACTACATTTTAGGTAAGCATATGTCTAGAGTACCTACTTTTAAATATAATCTTGGACCTTGGATGAAATGCGATCAACTAATTGACACAACTAAATAGTTTGCTAATGCGACTAATCCCTATTTAAAATAAAAAATCCCTTCTGCTAATTCGTTTATAAAAAAAGCGAAGACAAGTGTACCTATTATTAATAAAGGTGCATTTATGAAATCATAAATCAAAATATAAGGTACCTACATTTATTATCAAAATATAATAACAATATTATCACCAATATAATAGTAGACACTGTAACCCTGTGCTCGAATCTATATGATAAATGTACTAGGAATAATTATGATAAGCTCCCAAAGCGTGGAAAATTGGTTTCGAAAAACCACCGATCGTGCAGACGTATACGGAATGTGCTAGAAAGCTTGCATCAATGCGGCTCGGGGAAATAAAATTTAATTACCCAAACTCAGCGGCGGCGGCACTCGTTAAACGTGTTAAAAAGCCATATTTATGTGTCCCGCTCGATGGGCTTATACGTAAATACGGGTCATATAAAAACAATAATCTCTGTTGAAGTCCAACCCGGTGACCGTATATCAACCGGGAACACAAAATGGCGGACGAAAAATCCGGATTGTCAACCCCCCAGTCTTCCGGCCACCAACGCCAGAGGGATAACGTGTACGAGCTTTACATTATATATTTATACACGCATATCAGTATGTATGTGTGAGTGTGTGTCGGTGTGAATATGTATGTGTGCGTGTGAGTGCGTGTGTGTTGTAGGTAAAACCACGGCAAGTGTTTTAATTCCTAATTTTTCATATAATATCGATACATTCCGAATGAGTGTAATTGTGTGTATGTTTGACTGTGTACTGTGTCAACTAAAAACACACGCACAAAGTCACAGACATTCTCATCATATCCTCTCTTGTCATGCTGGGATTTTCAATGTACATATGTGTACATAACGTTTATAATTGGACGGCCGTATATATACGTATATATACACCTATTTAATACCTCGCCGGTGCCCATTTCCTCGCTGTGCAAATAATGACTATCGACGGTATTTTGCCGACTAATTACATCCAGTAATCTAGGATAAACCTATAGTGGCGAACACAAATTCAAACCTAAGTCCCGTGTAAAATGCAAATAATATCATCGTTATCGCAGTGACCGCGAGTGCATTTAAAGATTAATTTCAGTCATTATGTATGTTTTATAATATGATATTGCAGGTAAATCCTGTTTACGGTTCAATAAACCATACCATACTATATAAACGGTATTGGCTCGATTATTATTATTAATGCTTGAAACGATCAGATATTAGAATTACTTAAAATGTACAAATCATAATATTATGTGATGTATTATCAGTGGCGTACTAACGGGGGGGGTTTTGGGGATAAAACCCCCCCCCGAAATTAATGGATGATTTAATTTATTATGAGAAAACTAAAATTTCTAGTACCTGTATATTAATTGTACTGTACTCTACTTTTCTCAAATTCTGAATTCTGAATTATAAATATTATTAATAGTACAGCTTGTCAGCTTACATTATCTAATGTGGGTACCTACGGGAATATGAGTATTTCCACGAAGATATTGTAGATATGGACGTGGACGATCGGTGTAATTATTATGACAATCTTTTATCGTACACTAATAAAGGAAATGCGTAGCAATGTAGAGTCGAAATTTCATGATTTATTTGGCACAGCTGAACACCTTGCTAAGGAAATCGGAGAAGATATAAAAATTCCAAGGGTTACACATTTTCAACAACATAGAGCAAATTATGAGTTAACTTCAGCAGAAAATTATTATCGGGTATCTATATTCATCCCGTTTATTGACCATTTCATTTCGCAGTTAGAAATTAGATTTACCAAACACAAAAATACACTATCAATTATTCAGAACTTTATACCAAACAAATTAATAAAATTATCCTAAAATGAAATTGAGACAAGTACGGAAGTGATGTCAAAACAGTGGCCAGTTGTAATAAGCTCATGTGACAATATTGTGAACAAAGAAGTTCTATTGTGGAAACAAAGATGGATAGCCGCTGCAGAAGATAAACTCCCTTGTACTTTTATAGATGCCATAAATTGTTGTGATGAGTTACTGTTTCCTAAAGTATACCAATATTTAAAAATTGGCGCTACGTTGCCTGTCACAGTTGCTAGCGTAGAACGGAGCTTTTCAACGTTAAAACGTTTGAAATCATACTTGAGGAATTCCACGGGGGAAAATCGTCTAAATGGATTGGCTCATCTAAGTATTCACAGAGAAATACCAATAAAAAGTAGTGAAGTGGTCGATATTTTTTCAGAAAAAAATAGAAAATTAATGTTCTAAAATTATTATGTATCTAAATATTTTTTTTTTATTATTATTATTATATAATTTAACATTTTTTTTTTTTTTATACATATGGTTAAGTATCACGAATAAAAATTAGTAATCTATTAAAATGTACGATATGTTTTGTTATTTTCAGGTGTCACGTCATCTAATATGTTAAATAAAAAATTAAAACCCCCCCCAAAGTTCAGGTCTAAGTACGCCACTGTGTATTATTATGACAATAGTAATTCAATTTATTGTATAAAACGAGAAACGAAATGCGAAATTACAGTGAGCACTTTATAATTCCGTTTTAAAAAAATTAACTCGTAATACAACAGCTGCTTGTATAATATTATATAAATTATATCTATCAAACTATTGTGATGACGAAGTTCTATATATAACTCAAATTCAAACTATGATATTATGTAATTTTTTGTAGCTCACTACAAGGTATTCACTAATCAGTATTCATATTATGCTATTCGTCATTTAAGCTATTGTTTTTTTTTTAAAGTAATTATTGAGTAACAATATTGTAAACATTATAATTATTATATTTAAATCAAATTTTTAACTGAAGTATACAAGAGATATTGAAACATACATTATTGTACAACTATTATTAGGTAGGTATTAATAAAACATTGTCATCGATGTTGGTAATAAAAGTTGGAAAATATTTTTTACTTTTTATTAGTTTATAATATTTTTTAAAAGAATCGGAATTAATTTTCAAATAAATAAATAGTAAATAGTATACATAGTATAAACTATTACCAACTATTCGAAATTAATGAAATAAAATACTAAAAGGATTCGTGATTTAGGATAAAACACAAAACCTCCCTATATCGGCCCTTGTTTATAATAACCTACTATTTCTCTGCGTTCCGGACATGAATACTAAAACAGGGTTCAGACCACAGACTGAAAAACTGACAACGTTCGGACACGCCAGATTTAAACGCATAGTGTACATCAGTATTAATATAAACCAAAAAGGATTATCCCTGTAGCGATCCCCTCGCTTTCCGCCAGTAAATGGGTGACTTTGTCCGCGGGTTTTATTTTTTTTTTGTCAATCGGTTACTCATTTTATTCTCTGCATACCCTCAGCCTCCCGCCACCGCAAAAGGGACAATCCCCGGGATTGTTAGGGATCTGAAAACGTTGACGCACTGAGCCCTGTGCAAATCCAATAACCAGTCGGATGATGATAAAAATAATCATTTATATACGTTGATGTTAAAGAGAAAGTGAAAAAAAAAACACTCAGTGACCTTATGATGTCTAATTTCTTTCCAATGATGACGGACGAAAAACAATCCACAGAAAGGTAAAATACTATATGAATAATACTACAATAAGCTCAGTAATAAGGTACTCACCCTGACTCTGGCCTCTGTGAGGTTCGTCCACATGGCTATCTCTTCCCTGGTGCTCATGTCCGGATATCGGTTTCTGGTGAACGTGGCCTCCAGTTCCTGGAGCTGTTGCGAAGTGAAATGCGTCCTCTGTCTCCTCTGCCTTTTCGTGTTTTTGTTATTTTTAATGTTAGCGTCTTTGCCGTCGTCAGTGACCACGCCAACTCCCGTGTCTATACCCTCAGTTTTTATACCGGTAGCACCGATCGTGTCCACCCGCCCTGTAAGAAAATTCACATTTTAATGGATTTTATTTCATTTTTTAATCTCGGTGGAAACAGTTTTTTACATTTGTTTATTATTTAATACCGATATACCATTATTATTTGTTTGCATCCGAAACAAAATAATCTGCAGTGTACAAAGTTACGAGCATTTAATGTGTCTTAAAACCGTTTTATATAGTTTATTGGTTCGAATGGTTCGATTGCCAACTGTTTATATTATAATTTATAATATACCGTGTGAATGTAACTCACCTTTTCTGTCACGATTTCTACTCCTCGATGAACCAAAGTTAAGCTGTGACGTATGATCCGTAGAAAGGCCATGATGATTGTTATCACGGAAGTCTCCCGTCTCTGCCCACACTGGAATCATATTTTACACTATACTCTAATAACAGTTATTTAATATTTGACACAAGTTAAATAGAAGTATTTTTTTTTCAAACGCAGTCACCAATATCGATTACACAATCAGTAGTTTATACATATGTATATGTATATTCCCTGTAGTATATGTAATAACGGTTGAAGTATTTGTTTGCGTTTCTTTGCACTCAATTTATTGATAATACATGAAACACTATCAACACGCAACGATAATTTTTCTCGTATATTTATTTGTTGGCCCACTTCAACATATTCTAATCTAATATACATCAAACATCATTCATAAAAAAAGATGTCAAAGGATGACATGTTTATCAATAGTAATATTTTACAAGTCACAGGTATGCGTTTCAACTTTTAACAACAAAATTTAATTATCGTGACAACTTATAAAAATACAGTTTAATAATTACTGAGCTGTGATATTTCATCAAATCATAATATAAATTATAAGGAATATGAAAACAAAAAAAATACTTTCCTACTGTATCAAATAACGATCGCCTTAAAATTGTAATTTGTAACATTCTAGAGAAAAACGTTGCTCAAACAGAAAAAACCTATAGATGAATCCGATAATACAAATCGCATAATATAGGGAAAAATGTTCTTAAGTACACATCGAAGTTCAGCTGGAATAAGGTTTCTTTATTCCGTCAATTATGTCTTTTTTAACCAAAAATAGCATTCATTTATTGTTCTGCATTAATTAGAACAGATTGTGCAATAAGAAATAAACAAAATTATGGTATAGTATACTACTGCAAGATTCATTATATCATACGAAATCAATTAATTCATTGTTGTTATTGTATAGTAATTATGATGACATCATTTTGTAAATTATTTGAATTCTGATCTGTAAAGTGTAATAGTAAAAGCTGGTATAATATTATGTACTCGTTTATAACAATATTTATCGGATACAATAATCAAACGAAATGCACGTTCGGCATAGTGGTTGCGTTAATAATTATGTACATAATATATTATGTGTAAGAGAATAACACATCGAGCACACAATCGTCCCTCGCACGTATAAACACTGATGTATATAATAGACTTTATTAGTCTCTTGAGTTATGTGATCGTCTCCGGGTGAACCGGCTTAGAGTCACGTACCGAAATCCACTAGGTTCGCCAAATAACGACCGCGGCTATTTTCGTATCCGCGTAAATTACATCTTCGAATCGTTTCCTCTCTCTCTCTCACACACACACACACACACACACACACACGCGCGCGCGCGCGTTTATAGTTATATATTTTAATATTTATATATGATATTCTCGACGCGCGCGTCTCCGAAGTGCACGATATGATTTGTGACAAACTGCGATCGGACATGGGTCGGTGGAGGGGAAGGAACTCACACATATATACGCACGCCGCCGCATTTCTCCGGTCGTTGTCGGAGTGATTTATCGGCTTACAAGTTGTAAACAGCTGTTTTAACACGTATAATCGACCGACTATTAGCGGTGCTCGTCTCGTTTTTCTCGCGCGCCCAACCCCCGCGACGATAAAATATATCGACGACAAGTAAGTACTATTACCGGCTGTGTAGGTATATAATATGTCGTGGTGGGTGCCCGTATATAGCTATACTACTATCAGAGACGCGCACGCGTATATACTATACAATATATATGTTTCTCCGGGACACAAATCCCGGCGACGGGCGGCTGATGGGTCACGAGATCGGCTTACAGGAAGTTACGGAATACACCGGTTTGTGGGTCTCGAGGGTGCGGAGCGAAGGGAAAGGGGAAAAAAACGTGACCAAATCACTCCATCCGAAACGTATACGACTTAAATACGCTCGCGTATGTGTGTGTATGGTGTGTGTGTGTATATATATATATATAGACAACGATCAGTGTTCACAGACACGTGGTTGATATTCAGTGGCAATTTGTTTTTCTTTTTTTTTTTCGCTTGCTTATCTCATAAATCATGTTGAAAACATCAATGTGCGTGGTCTTATCGGTGAGAACTATAAACCTAGTATATATCTACCTACCTATACCTACCCCCCAAACGCTTAAACACGCGGAAACCGAGAGTTTTCGAAAAGGTTGTCTGTAATACAAGTCTATATAGTAAGTACCTTAAACGGTCTGCCTGGGCTGCACTTGCCGCAGGGTGAGCACGACGAGAATTTCGATCGGTTCCAAAAAGTTTATTTGCCGACCAAAATGTACGTTTTTATACCGTCACTGCGGTCAATACTCAATATTATACTGCACATGCCGAAGCATATAATCTGTAAGGTTTGTATTAACAATATTGAACGCTCGTAAGTGTAAGGACGAAATATTCCCACCAAACTTCTCAGAGAAACTAAAACATGTGTTTCGTAAATAGTATATTATATTATTATCATAATGTGCATCGTGCCTGATGTAACACATGTAACAGTGGCTATAACTTAAAATTTATGTGACAATACTTTTTAATGTTTACAAGTCTAAATCGGTAAATGTAAAAGAATTCTATATAAGTTATTACTATATTATTATGTATAAGATAAAATACCGTCCCGTATATTTTACAAATGAATAAATTATTATAATTTATGATTTAATTCTGCTTACGTTTTTTTCTAATGCAAATAACATACTATAATACTTTATTATCAATAATACATCTGTATCAGACTGTGCTTACTGCTGCTCATTATATTTAGTACGCACTTTAATTATGTACAAAGTATTAAAAATAAATGAAATTATAATTTAACACAACGAAATAATACAATTCATACAATAATACTATCTATACATTGTATATTTATATGGAATCAAATATCAATTAGATAATGGAATCAAAAACCTCTGACAAATAATGTAGCTGATACGTGATACCCACAATTGTGCATGAATACGTTTTGCTAATTTGTTTATTTCCAATTCGTTTGGGATAATCTACTGTATAATGTGTACATAATATTTTATTCGGTTATGCTAAATAATGATTTGAATCGGCACACGTGCCGCGCGCGTCAATAATAATAGTAACAATTTATAATAACAATATAGTTCAGTCGTTTGGAGAGAATTATGCATACCCTGTAAATTGAAATGTAATGAAAAATAACTGACATCAGTATAAAATATGGTGTTGAGCGTACGTGTATTATTTATTGTTAAATCTAAATCTACTTTAATGCAGCACAGTGGAATCTGTGTGTTTGAGTGAGAGATTGCCAGATAGGTATAGATATAGTTAATAGTTATATAGGTATAGTTAAAGGTACGTGTGATCAGTGGCGTAAGTATACAAATTCGCCACTAATGCGAAAAACTTGGATGGGCCCTTTTTAATTAACCTTTTCTATTCGGATTAAATGTAAAAGAATACAACTAGGTATAAATAGGTATTCTTATTTTTTAATAAATGTATACATTTAATGTTTAGTTATAAATAACAGTTAAAGTTTACGAGCTTTTAAATTAGTAATGTTTTCAGTAATCTGGACAAGGCAATGAGTTCTGCTGTATGTAATAACTAATAATTTTTGATTTAAATAATCAAGGGTTACTATCGTATATTATAAATATCTATAATAATTAAACAATATATTAAAATTTAATTCCCTGAATTCCCGTATGAACTCACTACGCGTGATGTGCACCTACTTAAGATAAAATATTTAAGAAACATCAAGACAAATTTTCCGCGACGGTTTGTACGTGTGTAGCGATAAAAAATTATACAAGTGCAAAAAAAAATACCAACAAATATCTGGATCATACAATGTCACGTTAAACACATATTTAAACAAAAATATATTGTTTATACAAGGGGGGGAGACAGTTGTCGTGTGCGATCAAATGCTTACCACCGTTTTTGAGTGCACGTTTAGACCGCTATAAAATAGCTTGTAAATAAGCGTCATTGGTTTTATATTTACTTAATTTCAAAATCGAACTACCGACGAGAGAAGAGCGCATTAGTGTCATCATAATAATAATAATACGTTAGTCCGGAAAAACGAGTGGGCCGACCTCTTCGAGCGGAACCTAACCCAAACCTATACACGACATTAAACCGTATACGAACGTGATATTATATTATATTATTATGTACACGACGGGCAATCGCCGCGGAAAATCGACGAGTTACGTTATAATTATTATTGTAGCGAGGTTTCGGACCGTGAAAACCGATGCTTCGGAAAATCGCATCGGACGTGTTTTCACGAGTGACCGGACGTCCGTTGGTCGAATTCGTTCCGCGCTGCACAGGCCACCGGATACCGACGGGCAACAACAGAATTACCGCAAGAGGGACCAGCCGTAAGGGGAGGCCTACTATTCCAGTAATAATAATAATTATTATTATATCGAGTCGGACCGGCGGCAGAAATCTCGTTTAAATGTAAATATATATTATCGAGGAGGGACGCGGCTCGATAACCGATCGGTTTGCCGACGAACTGTTGCTAACCAAATGGGTCGGGCGCGCTGCGAAATTGATACACCACCATATTATACCACACCGCCGATGACAATAATAATAATAATAATAATAATAAAAGTCGTCGTAGCCGTAGTGTGTATAATACCGTATTGTCGTGTGTGCACGCGCACCAGCTGCAGCGAGGGGGTGCACCGTTGACGTATTGCGATCAATCTATTCTCAATACTCATTACGTATACATACCATTATTATAAAAATTGTGGTATTTTAAATTTTGTAGCTGAGACGAGTTTCATCGGACGAGCCGGTGGAGTTCTCACGCTCCCCCCCTCCATTCAGTCACGTCCTTTCAGCGGTCGATATCGAGCGTAAATAGTATAATAATATTATCATCACCGTCGTAATATGACGTAAATTAGGTTAGATCGCATAAGTATTATCAATTATGTATAATATAGAAGTTACAATGGGCGTATGGGGAGGACTGATGGGACTCGAGTTATATATATATATGATTGTATAAGCAATATTATGCTAATTTGACAGTTAT